TTGAACCAAATGAAGTTGAAATTGTTTCTTTATTCATTTATTGCATAACATTTATTTGCAGTCAACTTTATTCAAATACACAAGTTTTTATAAAAATATTAATAATACAATTGCAAGGCAAATGATGAGCCTGGTCATAGAATGTATTTATGTAATAATACATTTTAATTACAAAGTTGCATCTAAGAATTACATGGAGACGATATCAGTGGTAAATTGTCACAATATGACAGACTGTAACAGACAATAACACATAAATATCAGTTATAATTGATATTAGTATTACATTAACAAGGTTAACGATACAATTAACATATACGCAATATGGACACAATGCGGTACTAATAGTGCAAAACTAATAGAATACTCATTTGTAACTGATGTAAAAACCAGTGTAACATATCCCAAATTACAATACGAAATAGCAGTACAACTTCTAGCAGTAAGATATTATTAAAAAAAAAAAAAAAAAAAAAAAAAAAAAAAAAAAAGATGAATCACAGCATAAATATTAAGGGAACCAGAATTCGCAAGGCATCTCAACCGTCGACTATGGAGAAATGGCGCTGTCACTTCAAGGTTTATTCTGTTAATTACATGTCTCTCATCGCCGTCTTGTAATTAATCACGAAATTCAAATTAAATTGAATATAACCAAATCACTATATTTAAAATTCTTGTGATGGGAAAAATAAGAAAAGGATTTACCTTATTGTCGCTGCTTACGTAGCCAGTAATGCCGATGAAATAACCAATTACCAAGATTGATAATTAAGTTATAAAGTTTTACCAAAGTATGACTTCTTTATAATACGATTGTTAGTTGAGAACTTATAGCAGTGCCAATGATAGAATTAAGATTGGCTCAGAATGCGCCAATCGACTGTTTTTACAACTTGTGGAGTAAAAATGAAATGATTTTGACATAAGCTTTCGTGAAATGTCTCGACATTCATTTTAAAATCATCGATTTTGTAGCTCATTAAAAGCAATCATTATATATATTTTTTAATTGAATATTATCTTATTACATATATAATATTAATTTCCTTGAAGTTTATTAACTTAATTTTCACTTAAAATTAATATTAATTTTTAACTATTTATTCACCACTTTTACTCATCACTGTAAAGCAACTATTTTAATAATTTTCAATTTATTTAACTTTATAGAACAAATACTTGTTAAATCAACAAAATTTAATAGGATTCTTATTTACAAATGCATTGCTATTTGTCGATTATAAACTAATTAATCGATAAATAATATTTGTGTTTAAAGGTAAAAAATATTTAAATTAAGAAATACATTTTAATATAAATTTTAAAATACTACATATTGTTAAGTACCATGAAAGGAATATTGAACCAGCTAACGAGAGTGAATCAATTTCTTTCTTATCTAAATTCTAAAATAACAAATTTTTAAACAGACTATTACAATAATTAGATATTTATTTATTTTTACTTTGAAATGCAAAGAGGATAGGAGGAGGGAGGGTGGAGAGAGAGAGAGAGAGAGAGAGAGAGAGAGATAGAAGTTCATGGTAGATCAAATTATAATATTATATACGTTGTTTATCGTCTCTTGCTCCTTATTATCTCGTAACCTGAAATTTCTAACTTCGACTTATTATTTTCGCTACTAATGATAAACTTCTTTGAATAATTAAGTCAGTCCTTTATTTTCAATAATATTTCAACTTATCATCACTCAATTAATTTTTATACCTCGATGCCTCTAATCCAATCGAAAATTATGCTACTCTGCATTAATTATTTGCTTTCGAATAACATAATATGTTCAGTTACTTATTTATAGCAAATGATTAAATAGTATGTTTCTTCTATTCTTTTAGTATTTGTAATAATTACAATGGGTATTATATTAATGCTGTAATATCCATTATCCATGATATGTTCGAGTAGTCTAATCTTTATCGCATTTTTGCAAATAAAAAATTCCTATGCATTTATAGAAAAAAAGAAGAAAAAATTGAAATGGCAATGATATTATTATTCAACTACTATATATTACATAGATTAACATATGCTACAACTTACAAGAAATTTTATTTCTATTGTTCAACTTCTTACTTTTTTTACATTACTTAGAAAAACTAACAATTAATTATACCAATGTTATTTAATGATTTTCAATATCAAAAATAGTAAAAAAAAATAAAAAATTATATTCACATAAATATTTATTAAATAAATGCGTCATGTATAAAATATAAAATATATTATAAAATATTTGTATTAAAATTTTAGAGCTCTTCACTGTCTCTGAATTTATAGTTTATAAGATTAATAAAATATCTCGTTTAATTAAGAAATGAAAAAATTTATGTTCCGTTAGTAAATTAATTTAAAAGAATTAAGAAAAATATTTGATAAATGAACAACGGTATTCAATTTACATTCATCAAGAGAATTGAACGAATATGTATGTATTACGAACTTAATAGATAAACGATCATGACTTTTATCACAAATACTTACACCCAGATACACAACGTCAACATGACATATTATTTGGATATAATTAGATAGAAATACAAGGAAGCGATGCTGAAATGGACTCATCATCAATCATCATAATTCACATATTAAAGAGAATAATTTATTGCATGTCTAAAGCTGTTTCAATTATTTATTATTTTTATGATGTAGACTTATTATTCTTTGATTTTGTGCTTAAGAGAACTTATTGATCTAGTATACAGAAACAGAACTAATGTTGATATTATTCAATAAATATATTGTTTAAATCATAATGTATAAGAGTCAATCAATCAATGGATATTATTAAAAAAAAAATGTATTGTTTAAATTTATGTCGGCTTTATATCTATATGGAATAAATTTATAGAATATTTATTCAGTACACCTCGTTAATTCTTTTTTCACAAATTGTCTATACGAATAATAGATCTATTTACATTGGTTTCATAAAATTTTTTGAATCATTTTTAAATTAAATTAAAAAATGTGAAATATAAATAAAAAAAATAATAACAATTGCATAATAAATTAAGGATTAAAAAAGTATTAAAAAAAGTTGTTACAAAATTAAAAATGTAAATAAAATTGAAATTAAATTAAAATTTCGTTACTTCTAAGTAATGCGGTATTTTAAAAATCCAATAGTACAATTGAACAAATAATTACAATGCTGCTGGATATATTACTATTAGTTTCTTTTTTCTTTATGAGAAGTATTACTTTTCAACATATTTTCAAATGTAAAGTAACTTTTTAAATAAATGTACACATTGTTGATTAATATAATTGAATTGAATGTATTTTTCAAGAGAATAAGGAAATATTTATTATTTTTATTTTAACGTACAAATGTTAAAGACGAATATTTAAAATTACAACAAATATCAGAGAAAGTGCATTATAAGTTATCGATTCTATTATATATCATTAGTATTATAGATATTTTTGTTTATTCTATCGCAATTTCTTTAAAAAAATTTCTTAAATACTTTGAGAAATATTTCGACACTAAATGTTACATTTAAAAAATTTGTTTATTAAAAGTGATTAATCAAATAAAATATTAAAAGACGTTTGACATTTATAAAGAATTGAAGTAAAAAAAAGAAAATCTTTTAAAAAATAATTAATAAAGAGCAAGATAAAAAAATGCATACATTTGAGTAATTAATAATTTTATATTATTAATATATTTATATTTATTATTGTAAAAATTCTATTGAAATAGACTATAAAATTGTTATGCTCTTTATTGTATTTTAATTTTCTTATTTAAAAATATTGATAAAAACTTTGGCATGATTATTTTAATTAATTTTCTTATTTGTATACTATTTATGTAAATTAAATAACGAAAAGCATCTTATTTACAAATTAAATTGACGCTAATTTATTTTTCATCATCTTATATTTAGCTGTTATTTTATACTGCATTGCCTTTTAATTAAAAAAAATAATTTACACAAACTTCTTGTATATCTCATTTTTTGTTTTGAATTACTTATATTTTGATTTACAATGATGAATAATCAAAATCAAAATATATCAACTAGTATTGAAAATATCCTTTCTGTAGTTATTAATTTCTTTATTTTCTTTATTGTATTGAATTTTTAGAAAATCTGTACAAACTCTAAATTAATATTTTCAGCGATTTCAACATTCTGTAAATTCATTTAGAGTGAAGTTACTAAACCACTATAAAAATACTATTTTTATGCACTCAATGTAAAATTCTATTAATCATTTAAGATATAATGATTATGATTATACTAATTATATAAGATTCATAAGTTTCAGGATGTGAATGAGCAACATTATGAACTGAAGATGCGCTATAATAAAAATAAGAAAAAAGAGCTTGAAACATTGTATCTAGAGGCAACCAAAAAAATATACAAACATAGAGAAGTATATGATTCCAATACTTATTGAATTTGTTATTCCAAACGATGAATTTCCATATTTATTTTACAAGTTATGATTTTTTTATACAGATGTGCATGGCATAATAACGGTGTAACAACTGAATAAGTAAGTATATTTTTAACGACTAGAAATAAATTATAAATACTAATCTTAATGTAACATAAGATCAGATATAAAACTTTTGAAATTTACCAAAATATGAATATGAGTAGTTTAAATATAGCGTATCCAAAAGCTTTTATAGAATAATAGTAAGAATAATTGTAAATTGTACGATATAAGTTAGGCTTACAATATTTTTCAATTAGATTTTCTTTTATCATAATCGAAACGATTTGTAAATTTTGTATTCGATCATCAAATAAGTTAGTAAAATTTTATATTAAAAATATACCGGAACAATCGATAATAAATTTAATAAAAGACATTTCACGATACATTTCAGAGGCGAACGACTTGGTTTTATTATCATTGATATACAATTTATATATGAATATAATGATGCGACTTGAACGTAATTTAATTGAAGTCCAATAATTTATGTAGAATGCTGTGGGGATGAATTACTGGAAGATGATGTGAATATATAAAAGAAAACTGACTTTAATATGCATCAAAGTAATCGCTAATTCTGAACATTTTCATTAGACAATTTTTTGTTAATTACAAAGAAAATTAAGAAAAGGGCAAATGTACCATTGGTCCAATGTTTCCCAGGGTGAGGTTTCAAATCCTGAAAAAGGTAATATGTTCAATATTTTCTGATCGACTATGTGGTTTAAATTTAAATCTGTGACTATTACGTATCGAACGAAGCAAAACGAACTTGCAAGTAATTAAATAATAGGTTAGCCAGTTGAAAACTTTTATTTTATTTTTACAAACATAGATTATAAAAAGCAGTTAAATAAAGAGATTTGATATTAGTATATAACAAGTATATAAACAAATATGTTCTCCCTCTAATAAATATTTTGTAAATTTTCACGTAATGATCAATTTCCTATCATTTCATCTCGTTATATTGACTTCTGAAAACTGCATATTTATTGCATATCAAAATTCGTATGTCCTGTCAAAATATTATATACATCAATTATATTTACATTTCTAATATATATATATATATATATATATATATATATATATATATATAAATAGAAACTGAGAAGCTTAACATGTAGATTAAAGTCGTTTTTCATCATACTTGAACTGACTTTAAACATTTGCAACAATTATGTGTGCTTGAACAAAAAACTTATAACAGTAAATAAAATTAAATATACATATGTAAACAAATAATATTATTAAATTTTGTACGAAAAATCACCAGCTTCTTAATCACATCCATCTTAATAATTTTACTAAGTCTTATGTTTATCACGACTGAAAGTCATGTTTAAGTTAAGCTAAATTGTTAAAAATTTAGGATATATAATAAAGAAATTTATTATGAAATTTTTAATAAAATTATTGATAAATACAATACAGAATGCCATCTTCTAGGATTAGAGGGAAGTATCGAAAATAATGTCGTCTATGTCAAGCGAGAGTTCAATGAGCACTTTACAGCCGAGCATAACGAGGGTTGTAAATTCACAAGTCGAACTGGGACTTTTACCAATTGTCCTCGCCACCCTGATTGTTTTTATTCTTTCAATTATTACTGTAGGATGTAACTCAATAATACTCGCCGCATTCTACAGATATAAGCGACTTAGGACTGCCTCTAATTGCCTCCTCGTATCTCTTGCGGTTAGTGACTTTGGGGTAAGATCTTATTTATATTTTACGTGCATTCAATATAAATGCGAATCCTTGGTCCATTTGTCAGCCAAATAGTTATTAAATATAAATGTATTGTTTAGTAAAAGATGAAGGGAAGAAGAGAGAAATTATTGGTAAATCATCAGGCATTGATTAATAAAAGTCAAAGTTTTCGCTGTTATAATAATATAAAAAATAGTGAGCTATTAAGGATAATTAAAGTGTTGAATATACGTTTATATATTTATCTGAAATTTCTTTTATAGACTATAGATTATTATATATTACAAAGTTAAAAATTAATAGTGATTCTTTTACATTTCCGTAATCACATATTATTCTAATATAAATTAATATAATTAATAATTAATTTTCCAAATTGACAATACAATGATTGAAATATATGCTGAAAATATAAATTATCAAACAAATAATTTTAATTAATTATTCACCGTTATACCTTTAATATCTATTTAATATTTAAATAAACACACTTCGATAATATTCTTCAAACCTGTCAAGTTTTAAAATGTTTTACAAAAAAGTTTTATTTATAATGCATCAAACAGAAATTGTTTTTCATAAATCAAATGTAATATTGAAATTGTATTATTTTATAAATTACAATAAATAGGTAGATGCTGTAATATAAATGAATTTTTATTTTTATAAATGCTAATAATGTTCAAGTGTAAATATATAATGTGCATTATATATAATAAACTAATGGCCGATTAACTAATTAACTATTATTTATTAATAATTTAATTTATTAAATTTTATTTCATTTTATTTTAATTTAATTTAATTTATTAAAAAATTATATAATAATTTATTATGCGTTTATGGATAATTTCAATAGTATTATAATTTTATTAAACCTTATGTACAAATTTAATCTACTTCAATAGTTCAATGTAATTAGAAAGTAAAAACAAAGTCTACTTTCAAATTGATTAATGGCGATGCTTCGATATTCGACATAAATTGCCTTATTATTCAAAAAATTAAAAACTAAAATGCAAACACATAAATTATATAAGAGCGTGTATAAATAAATTATAAATAAATAATAATTAATAGTATTATTTGTATTACATTTAATGGCTGGCCGTTTTAATATAGAAAATTAATAATTATATACTTGAATATCAACTCGAATATGAGAAAAAATTATATTAAATTATAAAAACATAAAATTATATTAAGCATAATGTAAATAAATAAGTGTTAGAAATGTAATGTCTAGAAATAAACTCTAACGCAATTGAAATTAAACTTGATTAAATCATACGATTCATCATTCGGAATGTTAATTAAATCAAGAGTTAGAACATTTAAACTCCACAGTCCCCGTCCTAATTCCCATTCATTCGATGAACAAAGCAGAGCTGCTTATCTTTTCAAGATGTTAAACAGAAGGATTCAACAGGTTGGCGTATTCATGCCATTTGGTACATACCTCGAGCTTTCGGATGTCTCGAAAAGTGAGACGGGAACACGAGCGATGGCTTCCTCGTTGAGCCTTTGCGTCGTGCCCTATTGCATCCTTATTGCTCTCTGCAGCGTGAGTGTATTGGTTACGGTGGCAATTGCCGTCGATCGATTAACCTCGCTTGCCCAGCCTCTTAGATATAAAAATATTATTACTCATAGTAGTATCGAGAAGTACATCGCGATGTTTTGGATATATGCGACGGCAGTCGGTCTTTCGCCCCTCATCTATGCCAGAATTGCCGATGTTAGTCAGGTCTACAGGTAACACTTTCCTTCATTACCATATTTATAATTTGTCCATTTATATGCTATAGTCTTATAAATTTGCCAAACACATTTTACAAATACACACGTTTCAAATGCAAATGAAACATTAAATAACGACATATAAATCATAGTTGACACGCTGAACATTGCATATTTTTTTATTAATAGCCTATCTTACTTAACCATCATATCCGATGAAAATTTACTCATAATCTCATATGTATTTCTAGCGGAAGTTGCCGCTTTAACGGCGTTATAATGCCGCCTGTGCGAATCTTTCTATTCTTGGCCGTGTGGGCTCCAAGCGCCTTTATACTACTTGGCTGCTATGTGTATGTCTATTTGGTGGCGCGAGCTCATGCGCGCGCGATCTATACGGTCGAACTGTCTTTTCGAAATCAGACGCAGACTTTGGTTTTGCCACGGTATGGCCAGACTCTTGCCGTGACCGTTGGTGCATTCTTCATATTATGGGTACCATTCCAGGTAATATATAATAATATATGTTGCATGCATAGAGGTGATCGTAATATGCATTGTTCTCAATTACGCCATTGGACTTAATAAATCCATCGAATGTTTTATTTTAATGTTTTAAGTAATCTCGGATTCCTAATTTAGATTAATTTCCTTTTTTTATTTTATTATACTTCTTTTATTTATTATACGTATTACAAATTCGTGTTCTTCAATAAAATACCTTCTCTATTAAATATTCCTTTTGTATTAAAAGCTTTAGCTTATTATTCCATTGATTCGTTGTAAACAGAAAATTATATTTTATTTTTTATTTTTTATTTTTCATAATATAAAACAATTAATAGTGTACAATGATTAATACAAACAAAGCTAATAATAAGTATTCGAATATATAATTTTATCATATATCAATGTACATTACTTACGTATAATGCAATGTATTATATTCTTATGGAATTTAATTAATTAAATCAATCACAAAATTTAAATTATATTATGCAAAAAAAAAATAAAAATACTCACTATATATTTATTTTACTAATTTGCATTTTAATAATTTGCATATTAACAATTAAATGCGTAGATATGACATTATCGTTTTTAATAATATAAACGATAGATTTTATAGATATTTAATGCCAATTGTATATATTAATTTAGTTATCTATTTATCTATTATCAAATATAAATTGCACGCATATAGACAATGTTAGATAAAAATTAGAAATTTACTTTTGTTTTAGATTTGCATGCTACTGGATATTTTTTGTGGTACAAATATCCTTTCGGACTGCACCGTTTGGTTGGGTCTGCCGATCCTTGCCCACAGCGGTACAAATCCATGGATTTATGCATTTCATCACGGTGAAATGCGCATCGCTGCGAGCAAAATTACCGAGGATATAGTGACGTTATTCGGTGTAATGCCAAGCAGATATGGTTGCTCGCCAACGAGAAGAGGATCAAATACCAATCTCGAATTGGCTGAAGTGATTAATAGTAACGCAGAACGGCGATTACCTATTGAAAATTGCTTCGCCGCCAAGCGCCAAAGTATCATATATTCAAGTAAGCGATGTCTTGAAGTATCTAGCAAAAATGCAGATATTTCGCCAGAAAGTATGAATAGGGGATCTTCGTTCAAAAGTTATAAACAATTGAATATTGTAGAAGAAGATATCCATGATCTCACAAAAATGCTAGATCCAAAGTACATCATTAACCGAAATCATGTTATCAATTCGAATCATAATATTGACAAAATTAAAAATTTTAAATATTTGTTAGATCCAACATTCAATAAGATTCGGCATCTTAGAAGACTCAATCATAAAAGATTAGCTTGTAAGAATATTGCCCGAATCCACCAGTCTCGTTTTATATCATATCAAAATTTAAAAGCAGATGGAATTTTAACAAAAAAGGCTGCGATACATTTAAATACAATGTCTGATCCAATGCTAAGTATCGATAGTCCTATTGTTAATAAAAAATCAATTAATGACGTTATTTTTAAGCATCCCCGTATGTTCGGAAAAAAATCATCGACTATTTTATCATTTTCCGATTCGAACATCAAGGATTCTGTAAAAAATTCTGATCATAATTTGAGAATCTTTTCCACGCATAAGAAATTATTCGACAACCAGAGATACTCTGTGCAGAACATAGATAAACGGTACAATGATCATGGGATCATAAGGAATATTGTACAAAATCAATATATAGAACGACACACCCGGCTTTTCTCCTGGACTCGTACACGTCAGAGAATCGCTGCAAAGTATTACGAAACATTAAGTCCTACATTAGACTTGAAACTCCAGCAAACAAGCTATACTTCTCTTCCTACTCCAGATGTAATTAAGTCTAATTCTAGATTAAGTACTAATCAAAGAACTTCTATGAGACACTTAACAATAATACCAAATAAATTGGCGAATCTGCTGTATTCCGGGGAATTAAAATCGATAAACTTAGATCCATCCATGGATTCAACGGTAAAATTACTCCCCCCTTCTAAAGATGTTGATATTTTAAAACATTCAGAGTCAATTAACTTATTTTCTGGCTCGATGATTAGCTCAAATGTACTAGAGCCTTCTCGATTCACTAATTTGCTAACCATTCCGTCAATACATTCGGAGCCGCCAAGTCCAATTGATCCTCTACCCCTTGATTCATTACAAGAAGAAGACAACAGCACTTATTCTGAAAACTTTGTTCACAGTGATAATCTAAATAATCCATTAATATCACAATTGACGCAAAAAATTTTAAAAAGTCCTACAAGGCACTCCGATCCAATTATTCCTTCCATTTTATTTAACATTGAAGATTGCAATATGAACGAATCTCATCAACAAAGTATTAATCCGAATTTTTCGACATTGGAAAAATCTGAATCAGCGAATCATTTAACATTGTCCAATTTACTCTTAAGTTGCAATAATTATGACCAGTCTCAAGGGAATAGCAGGCATGTTAATCCAATATTTTCAGAACACAAACCCACTAGATTCAATTCTAAAGAACCTTCGAATTCTAAATGGTCTGAGTCTTCCAGAAGTCAAGAAATGCTATCTAATGTTATAGAACATTCGCAATTTCCATCATCTTATTCTGTAAATAATTTGCAAATTTGCAATAATATCAGTGAACTCAATGATATAACCTGCTTGGATCCCTTTGTTTACTCTGATGCACTAAGCTCATCTTTTCATGAATCTTTTTTCAGCGCTCCTTCATTACCAGAGTCAGAAGATATATTTACATCCTTTGAGACAGATGAACTTCCGTCAGAAACAATTTTACCAATAACACGGAGTTCTACATCCAATATAAATATGGTAAAATCCCCAGTAAATTTATATCATGACCCACAGCTAGATATGCAAAGTAAATCGACCGAGTCAATATTCCGATACAAAAACCAAAGTGAGAGATTATGTTCAATACTTAAATTAGATGGAAACACATACCAAAATAGATCAAAAATAAAATCTGTAACATATAAGAATTCAAAATTAACGCCAGTAAATACGTCTAGCTCTCTAGATATTACTGTTGTATCTGACATACCGAGTGAAAGTAGCCTAAGTGTGAAAGTTTAATTTCATTATTTTCATATATTGCATTTTAAATATTACTGTCTCCGTCATCGAACTTGATAAAATGTATTTTGTTATAAATTATAAAATTAAAAATCATGTAGATATCTGTAACTATGCCAAATAATTTTTTTACTCAATACTATAAATATAATGATAAACAAATCATTTGAATGAAAATAATCTTATAAATTATGAGCATCAACTTTTCAATATTTCTCAATTAATTTTTTTACTTTAATATTATATGGTGTTAATATGATAAGAATTATATCTAAATCTAATGGAGTAACTTTAATATCCATAAATTATCCTAAAAGTTATGAAGTAATAAATAATGATCTAACATTTTATAATTTAAATAATAATAAAAAAATTATAAAATGAATTAATAAGAAAAAATTAATATACTTCAAGTAAGGATGTATTACAAATTTTATGCTTATCAGAAATAAGTCATGAGAATTACGAAACAACCAGATAATTAATCTGCTGTTTATGCAATTACAATAAATTTATGCAGAAAAATCAAAATTTCTCAAAATAATTTTATTAAGATTTATATACATATTGTAATAAATTGAGAAAATGAAATATATTTTTTTCACCATTGCAGAATTATTCAAAGGTTTTCAAAGACATATTTTTGTAAAGATTTATTAAAGAGTTATAAGTAAGTAATAGCTGAAAAGAAATTAAAATTAAACAATCTGTTTAACATCATGAAGTTTATTTATTTTATTGACGTAATAAAAATATGTACTAAATCGTTTATTATAAAACTACGTTTCTAATAAATACATTTAATATATATATAAATAGCCTATAACATAATTAATCGGAACAGTGCTAATCATAGCATTTTTTAATATCAGCGACTAACTTTATTTAAAATTGTTATTAATATTCTATACTAAATCTTATCATATAGTTTTTAATTGCTATTGTCTAAATTCAATTTTTCAATTATATTTCAACTCGAACTCAATTAAAAATGTAACATCTATCAAACTACATACAAACATACATACATATATATATATATGTATATATATATATATATATATATATATATATATATATATATTATGCACATGCCTATATGTATGTAGATTTTTATATATCAGAAAAAATTATGTTTACATATTAATCTGAATTTTTATGTAATTATCATCTCAACAATTTTTTTTCACATTCCGTAGATATATATTTTGCTTAAAATAGATTCAGTACTTCTACCCAAGTATACATAGCGTCAGTAAGATAGTAAAATACTAAAATGTAGAAAATATTGAAATTATTTTCAAAACATAATCAAATCATAACTGTGTTATACTTGTCTATTATTATTATTCCTTTATTCGGTCATTATACAGTTATAGCAATTTTTTAAAATTTATTATAAATTATGAGATATAAGACAAATAATAGTATATTATTAATAAATTATAATCAATTATATTATCAAATAATTTAAAAAAGAATAAATATTAAAAAATAATTATATTGAATAATTAAAAAGTCTGAATTATTAATTTATTAGAATGATTAATTAAAACCGTATATATATTAAATTGTTTATTAACAATTTTTTTTAATGTTAATTTAAATTAAATTAAAATGAATCTTTCTATATCAATAAATTAATTAAAAAATTATTAGAAATAAATATTTTCATAAAATATATAAATAGAATTGAAAATGCCGTTTGATGAGCATTTCAATTAAAAATCTCAAAAATATACTTACTATAACTGACAAATTAAATTAACATTGACTTACGACAAACAGCAAAGTCACAAAATGTAAATTATTTATTAAAAATATAAAATTATCATACAATGTTGCTTTAGTAATTATAAATTTTATTATATATATATTGAATAGAACTATAAATCGATTAAATTCACTGAAATTTCTCCATACAATACATTGAACGAAAAAATTTCATCATTTGTAAATTTTTATCAACAAGAAATTTCAGAGATTTTATTGTTTTATATTTTATTTATATCATATTGTATTTAATTATTTATATACTATTAAATAATATAATTTTTTTAAATAAAATGGAATTTTTACTTTAAAAACTATAATATTAATTTTATATTATATTAGTATAGTTATTTATACGTAAACCAAAATTTTTATTGTTAAATATAATTCATACTAATAATTAATATAATAATATCTAAATAAATATTCATACATAATGTAATATAATATGCTGTAATATGAAAATAATAAATACGAAATATATTAATGAATAAATATTAATTATACTGTGCTAATATATTGATAACTTTCGTATTCATAATATTTGCATTTAAATTTATGTATATATTGTTTATTTTGTAATATATTTATATAATTATAATTAAAATTTGTATGTATGGATAATTATGTTGAGCGTATATAATAGATATTCTTTTTTGACAACAATTAAATAAACATTGGAAACTCTAAAAATAAATGAAACTACAATAATTTATAAAATTTTAAAAATTAAGTAAATTTTATAAAAAAAAGGCCATTGTACTTAAGAATTGTTTTAATTATTGATTTATTTTGTCAATCGTTAAACTTATTTAAATCAAAATTATATGAGCTATTTCCATAATTCTTTGTAAAAATCAATTATACTTCTACAATTTTGCACAAATATTTAATTAAATTATAAGGGAAAAATATTGCAAAATACACGAGTGAATTAAATATAAGAATATATGAAATATAAGACATAATACTATTAACAAATAATTAGAGTATTCTTTATAAATTCTTATAACAAATTTAACCAATAGATTACAAATCACCTAATTTTAATATGTATATATATATATATATATATATATATATATATATATATATATATAAAATATTAACTAAAGTTAATTAAACGAAAGCGAATTCTAGAGCAGAAATATATAAAGTTTTCTAAAAAAATATTTTATTCATTATTCACATTTTTCGTTTTTTAACTTTATTTTTATTAGATATATATAGAAGTGATCACGAAGTATTAATATGTGTATTACAAATATAAAAATCAATTATATTTGTCGATATTTGTCAAGTCAATATTTTTTTATTTGTATTTATTATACTTGAAATATAAAATTTATTTAAACTATCACATAACATGTATTTATAAAGCAGTACTACAATAAATAATTAAGAATATATTTATTGTAGTTTTATATTACGTTTTATATCATAATTGTATTGAAAATATATTAAGAAATAAATATTTAAAAATCTTTTATATAAGTATAGTATTCCATAGTTTATTTTCGTATTAATTTATGTATTGTTAAATTTTTTTAGAAAAATATATTGAATCGAGAGAAATATTTTAGTAATTTATTACTAAGAAAACAATTTATTTGAATAAACAATATTTTTTGTATAGGTATAATGGATTAAGGTGTAAAATATTTTTTGTTTATAATGAAAGCATGATTTCACATTTATTTTCGTTACTATATTCATATGTTTTAAAATGTTTAAAAAATATTATTACTTATATTATATTAATTATATTTATTATCTAATAATAATTAAAAGAAAATTAAAATATATATATATATATGTTGAAAACACACCTTAAAAATTGAATAAAATGTCCTATATGTTTTGAGAAATATAAAAAAGCTTCTAAGCTGAATCTACATGTAATTTTTTAAGTTCAATTAAAATTTGAAATTTAATAAAAATGTTATGCTAGTAAAAATTAATACCTAAATATTTCTAAGTATGTATCTTCAATAAAAATTTTAATTAAATAATCCAATGAATTTAAATAAATAAAGGGCATTGTTTGGAATCATATAATAAATGAAATTTACAAATTATTTTTAAAACGGATTAATATTGAGTTAAGTAAGTATTATATATACGATTATTCATTTGGAAGAAAAATATAAAACTTGTTGAATGCGACCAGAATATAAATAAAATATTAATTATATGTTAACGATAATTAAACTGTGATAACAAATTATTTAAATACTGAAATTAACGAGTTTATATGTAATAAATATTTTTTAAATCAACGAAATCAATTTTAAAAAATTGTATATTTGATTTCAAATGATTTTCATATTATATTATATTTTTTCTATCATTATACATTTTATATTAAAATTTTAAAATAAAATAAAAAAAAAAAAAAAAATTATCGAGCTGAACGCCTACTATAAAACAACGAATAACTAATTTTTTCAAACTTTTGAGGTACAAAATTTTTATTCCTAAAATACGAATTCTATATTTTAAATAACTTAGTTCATTATTTATAAAAAGTTAAGTTAAAATCCTGACATATATTAGGAAGAAAATTCAATTAAATATTGAAATAAGAGAAGAGTAATCGAAATTAAATTGTAAAATATTTGATTAACACTGTACTATTGAAAGTCTCAAAATATGTTTCTATCAAAAATAAAAGCAACTTTTGGAAATGTGAGAAAATTCGGTTAGTCTAAGATCGTTTACGAAAACTCTATGTTTGTGCATTTATATTGAAATTTAATTATAGACGCAATACATTAGAAATCATGGACTCTGATAAAAAAATCAATGACTATTATTTCTATCTTTTATCACCAAGAAATATAGTTGCTCTTTTTTCCAAATAAAAAATGTTAATTAAATATATTATTATAATAAAGCAAATAATAATTTGAAATTAATTATCGATAATTAGCATCAATTATAAGAGGACAATTAAATTTTTAATGCATTTATATACTTAAATAATTATATATTTAAATTGTACGAATCTAAAAATATCTGATGAATAAAAGAATGAAAATACATATTTTTCTAAATACATAATATGTTACAAACAATAGACGCTAGTAAAACTTCCTGTATTCAATATATTAAGATTCAAAAACTTCAAAAATATTTTCATAAATGTATAATATGTAACAATATGTGCTACTAAAACTTCTTGTATTCGATATACGAAGATTTAAACACATAAAAAGTAATGTAAAGACTACTTAACAATTTATTAATTTTAAAATATAAATGAAACTATGACGTACTATACTTATACTATATTAATACTTAGCGTTGATATGTTTAAACTTAATCTTTGAAAACTAATGATAGGATTTCCTTTTTACATATGAGAAATGATAAATTACTGAACAATATGTAGTCGTATATAATTGGCGCTTCAAATTTAATCAAATATGCAGCTAATTAATTCATCATTAATCTAAATATACATTATTTAAGAATAATATAATAATTATATTTTTCAAAAATAGATTCATTTATTATATAATATAAAAATGATATTTAATTTATTTATATTTATTTCTATCCATCATTTATCAATTATTTATAAAAACATCTCGGAGTGCAGTTAAATTTCTTATTTATATTAATACAATAATATTCTTTTATAAGTATTTATATGGGACACCAAAATTTATATATTGATTTATTGCATATAATTTACATAATATTTAAATTTCAAAATTATGTAAAAAATTAATAGTTAACTAAAACTTCTTTAATTAAGCTTATATAATATGAGATTTTATGATTGTTTAACGATGATAAAGTTTTCTTTATTAAATATAATAATTTTACTGTTTCATGTAATGAGTATAATATATTTCTTTCATATAATGATTAATTAAGTTTATAATAAATTTAGGCAAATCAATTATCTATTCAAATTAAGTTTTAATAATTTGAAAGTTTTTTTTTTTACGAATAAAATAAAAGTAATTATATTACTATCAATAAAAAATGTAACCCGAATATAAATTTTTATTAATTCTATGTACATATATGTATATTATAGTCAATACAATATGAAATAAAATTATTGCTGATATATTTACGAAATATAAGAAAGTGATATATTTATGATTATAAGAATGTGTATATATTTATGAATATGAGAAAATGATATAATTATGATTAATATATTGACGAAATATAAGAAAGTTATAAAGTGTATTTTAAAATACATAACAAATATAGCGAACTTGTAAGAGTCTCAAAAATGACGATAAAAGTATATTCAGTTAAATTAAAAATGCTGTTTGTTTTAATGGTTACTTGTGTATTTAATGAGCGTTGCATAGTTTATAATATTATACAAAATTATGTAAAAATGTTATATTACAGTATTTCATAAATTGTTTTATAAGTTTTATGCCTTATGACTGATGAGAAGAAATCTAAGGTCATAATAGGAAAAATTAACGTATATATAACCAAACAAAATACTGTTAAAATGAATAGAAAGTATCTTAAAATAATAAGGAAATTGTATAAATAGTGGACAATCTTTTTGTCTCTCTTTCATACATACCCATATCCAATACAGCTTTATTCATAAAATTAAATATATTTACTTTATATAATTAATTTCAGTTGAATAATGTTTTGAAATTTCTATTCGTATATAATTGCATTACTAAATAAATTAAATTATAATAATAAATAATAAAATTCTAACAAATGTACTCTTTTAATAAATTTATTTAAATTTACAATCATATTAATGCATTTACTATTATAATGTACATAGCTAATTATTCTTATAGGTTTAATTAAATTTTATATTATTAAATATTCATTAATAATAACCCAAATTTCTCTTTTTTAACAACTTGTCGTCATAGCACTTGCAATGTCTTAGAAATTTTCTATAATTACTGTCTAATTCTGTTAATTAATATTTCACATACTCTTGAAGGACAATCAACAGAAAGTTCATTTTCGTGAGACATATTTATTCATTGTTTAACTACTAAAGTAAATCTTTGTTTAAAATATATTTCTTACCTGTATATTAAACTACATATTATCGACATTTAAAGTTCATTGATTACAAAATGAATATCGATAAATGAATGAAATATTACTTTTTATACGTAATCAATATTTAAATTAATCGTTGATTTATATAATTGATTTTAAACTAAATATTAAATCAAGCTTTATGTTATTAAATTTAAACACGTTTCTCTTATCTATTTAATAATATGAATCAATTTTATTTTTATTTAAAAAATAAATAATAAGAAAAATATAATGTATAATGTAATCATTATGGAGATAATAGAAACACTAAAAATATTATACAACTAAATAACGAAATAAGTACTAACAAAATGAATTGTTTATGTTATTGCCAAATACAATTGATTTAACTTTCTCGATCAATAGTGTTACAACTATGTATTTGAATATTTCATTTATAACAATAATCATTCTTTTTTCAAAATTCAACCGATGATAAATTTTTCTCACGATCATGTATATATGTACCCTACAATTATTTATATCAGATTTAATTATAAATTTTAATAATTTTACATTTTGAATTTATATATATGTGTGTGTGTGTGTGTGTGTGTTTATATATATATATATATATATATATATATATATAGTATTTAAACGATACAAATAAAAAAATATTTAATAAAAATTAAGCAAAAATTGGTAATCGTTTCATTTATTTAATAATTTGTTGTATGTGTGGTGTAGACTTAGAAAGTCATACTTGTTAACACATTTTCATGATTATTTTAAATACATGTTTCTATTTTTTCGTAAAACCGATCTTGGAATTTCATAAATTTTCTGAATAACGCTTACGTTATATTTTAAAATAGATTTCAAAAATATTAATACGTTTAAAGTAAATTATGCTGATTTGATATTGTTGTTCTAATGTTTGTTTTTAAATTTTACTGGCTTTTAGTATTTATTTTTGTACATGTGCAGTGCGCTAAAAATTGTTAAGCATTATATAATAAATAATTAACTTTAAAAGAATTATAAGAAAAATGCAATTAGAATAAAAGAAGTTTGTCATTTTTTAGATTTAAATCTTTATTCACTTTATATTTCATATTATATATTTATCTAGATTTCACTTTTATATATTACTATTACTAAATTAAATTCATTTTATTATTTTTATTATAAAAAGTCAAGAGAATATAATTAAGAATATATTTAAGAAATAGTATTTCTAAGAGTACAATTGAAAATATAGCAGATAAATTTGACAAAATATGACATTAATGACTACCGGCAAGAAGAATAAAATGTGGCATTTACTTTGTTCATTTACGACTGGTCCTTGTAGATGTCGTTATTGGAATAATGACATAACCTAAGAAATTAATATAAAATACGAGTTGCGTGCTTATGTGCATGTAATATATGAATTAATAACGTTAAAGATTAAGTATGGCTGATAATTCAGAAAATAATTTGTCTGACTGTAGAAAAACATTTCAAGATATCGGTATCGAAGAAAAACATATTGAAAGTTCTGTGTTGAATGGTGTGATTAAAAACGATGATATAGTAACACCTTGGAATGTTGAAACTCAAAACGATGTCGGAATTGATTATGAAAAATTAATAAGTAATAATTATGTACATGTATATTGGCAATATTTTTTCATTAAATTTTTTCATTCAAGATAAATTTATCGTATTATTTTATAATGGATTGTTTTATAATATGAAGATTATAAATCACAAATAGCTTAAACATCTTGTTAGTTATTAGTTAAATTTGAAAGTAATATAATGATTTTTGTTATAGAACGATTTGGAAGCTCAACGATAGATGATGATTTACTTATTAGGTTTGAAAAAGTTACTGGACACAAACCTCATTATTTTCTTCGTAGAGGAATATTTTTTTCACACAGAGACATGCATCTGATATTAAATTTGTTTGAACAAGGCAAATCATTTTATCTCTATACTGGAAGAGGACCCAGTTCTAATTCAATGCACCTAGGGCATCTTGTACCATTTATGTTTTGCAAATGGTTACAAGAGATATTTAACGTTCCGCTAGTAATTCAATTAACGGATGATGAGAAAGCTATTTGGAAAAATTTGAAAATTGAAGATGCTATAAGGTTGGCTTATGAAAACGCCAAAGATATTATTGCATGTGGCTTTAAATTAGAAAATACATTCATTTTCTCAAATTTAGAACATATTGGAAATAACTCTGCATTTTATCAAAATATGATAAGAATACAAAAATGTATAACATTTAATCAAATAAAAGGGATTTTTGGATTTGGGGACAGTGACCCTATTGCAAAAATTAGTTTTCCTCCGACACAAGCTGCACCTGCTTTTTCCAGTACTTTTCCTTTTATTTTTAAGAACACAAAAGTTCCATGTCTTATCCCATGTGCTATAGATCAAGATCCGTATTTCAGAATGACAAGAGATGTAGCACCCAAAATCAATCATCCGAAACCTGCATTATTACATTCTATATTTTTTCCCGCGTTACAAGGTTCCAAATCAAAAATGTCTGCTAGTGATAATAATACCGCTATATTTCTGAATGATAGTCCAAAACAGATTAAAAATAAAATTAATAAACATGCATTTTCTGGTGGGCAAGCAACTATTGAAGAGCATAGACGATTAGGAGGAAACTGTGATATTGATATATCTTTTCAATGGCTAAGATTCTTTTTAGAAGATGATGAGAAATTAGAACAATTAAGAAGAGTATGTTGCATTTTAATGACATTCTATCATTTATTAATAATTTCTAATGAACTATAATTTCTATTTTAAGGGCTACTCTAATGGTGAAATTCTAACAGGTGAACTAAAAAAAGAATTAATAGATGTATTACAAAAAATAACTGTCTTACATCAAGAAGCTAGAAGTAAAATTACAGATAATGTAGTTAAAGAGTATATGATGCCTCGAGATCTTGGATTTACATTAAATCATAAATTATCATAAATTTTTATTTATATACTTTGTATACTACAGAAATCCCAGTTTTAATTTTATTTTTCAATGTTTTATGTAATTTAAATTTATTTATATGAAATATTTTATACATGTATTAGAGAAAATCATAATCATTTTAACAAATTTTTAATTGATGTAATTTTAAGTAAACAATCTAATTGAGGTTTATGTATCATTACTAATTGTACAAATTATATTCATACTTGATAAGTGAATATATGTATATATAGATTCAAAATTTGAAAAAAAATTCGTATTGATCCTGTAACTATTTTGTAAAAAAATACGAAAACACTTTTATAATTTATTATTAGATATATAAATAAATTTATGTAATAAAAGTTAATAAATTATGATTAATTAAATTTTTAAATATATTTATACTTTTAACTTTCGTTATTAAAATCTTAAAAGAATAAGGAAGAAGTCTAATACATGACAAAAAATTTAGACCAGCAGATATATTCGAAGCCACATTATTTGTTACAACTAAGAGAAAATAATTATATATATTTGATAAATTCAACAATGAGTAACAAAGTATATATTGCATTTCATTATTCAAGTTTTTTATTGAATTATAGTATATCTAGTTTGAAATTTAATTTAGGTAATATAATAATAAAAATAATAAAAAATGATTTAACGCTACATAATAGATTGTACATCTAATATACATAGATAATATATTTTTTAATTTTTTTGTTTACATAATCACAATAAAATATAAAACTGGAGTAAATTGAAATTAAAATATTTTTTAAATAAATTGATCATATATCTTGTCTTATTTCAAATTATGTAAAAGTAACTTCAATTTGAGAAATATAAATTCATTCACGAGATACTATTTCAAAAGATCATTTTGAAATCCCTATAGCCGACAAATTTACTAAAACAAATCATTGGGTTGTTAAAATAATAATCATAAACTATTAATACGTTTAGTAATATTATTATTAATTACAAGCAAAATGTAATAGAAATTACTTCCTTGATTGTAAGTCGACGAACTAATAATCTACTGATTTTATTTGTTACTATAATAATGCTTTTATATTTATATTATCTTAAATATAGATAATTTATTATCACTTATTATCTAAGAAAATATAATATAATGTAAATTATGGGATTCTAATACCGTATTACAACTGGAAATCTCACCTCAAAATTTTTACTTAATACGTAGAATTGAATTGTATGATTCATGATAAAAATATTTTCTAAGTTTTGCCTACATTATGAAAACCGTATTTTTACTTCAAATTTGTAACTCAATTTAAATGTTGAGTGTTACATATTCAAGAAGAAACCCTACATAAATTCAATATTGATTACAAATGTTTGATAGCAACAAATAGCACTTAATATTATAAATGTATACTTTAAAGTCGAAAATACGTTTAAATAACGAATCGATTTAAATAATTTGATGTACTTTAAATAATTAATGTATTATTATGTGAGTCGTATAGTAATATAAAATATTAATATTTTAGTAACGATTACAAACATTGACAATCAATCAACTTTCACATATAAATATAATTTGAAAAATTAAGAACGTAAAGTAAATAAGTAAAAAATTGTAAAACTAAAGCAGAATTGAAGTAGAACAAGTATATATAAATGATGAGATTGAAGGGTTTCAAAGATATATAGCAAAAAAAATTTATTTAATTTTCAATATATTTTCCTTATGATACTTATAAGAAATACGATACTATCTTTACTTTATAAAAAAACATATATAATGAGTTAATTTTAAATAATATACTATTTAAATCAATTTAAGTAGAATGAACATTTATTTGTTTAAATTTTGATTATAATGTATCAATAGCATATAATAGATGAAAATAATTTTTGATTTATGAAAAAGCTCGCTTATGTAAAATAATAAAATATAAAGTATGAAAAAAAATTAGCAAATTTCATTAAAAGAATTATTTACAGTAAATGAAAGTTTTTAAAAGTATTTTATATTTCTATATAATATCGGATAATTCTTAGTTTAAAATTCAATATGAATAATATTTGTTATTTTAATTGAATTTATTTTAAATATACGAATATAAAACTATAGACATATCAAATAATTGCGGTGTTATTATATTATAATTACCAAATATCTATACACTTTAAATTATAAATCTTTTTATACTTGTATATTATAAATTATTCAAACAATAAATGAAACTATATAATTTATTTATAAGTTTCGCATTTAATGTAAACTTAATTATTATCTTCAAATAGCATATAACATTTTAATACAATAATTTTACAGTCTGTTTATGATAAAAGTTATCGACATTATATTTATTATTACTTTTTTTTTTAATTTTTATGTTGCAATTAAATGTACTTATATTTTATATGAGATAAATATTTGTTGTTAAATTAATAATTTATAAAAGAATTTAATGATAATTATGTATATTTTAATAGTCATGAATATATAATATATAATATGGATTGATATACAATGATAATGAAATTAATAAGTATTTATTTTTAGTAAATCTTTCTTATAAAAATAATTCTTGAACTATTCGATGATTATTAATCGGAAATATTCTATTAAAATGTTTCTTACTTACGCTATATATATATATATATATGATGCGTATGATACATTTTACGACATTTTTATATACTTAATGCTATCAAATGATGTGCTCAAATTGGAATTACAATTTTACGAAAACTTGAACCCTATAAACAATTTATAATTTATAATTTATTCATTAAACCTGGCATCAAATTCATTTTTTCTTTATACATATAATGTATTAATCGTTATTGTTTTAATATTAAAATAGAATTTAAGAAACTAGTACGTAATATCTAAACTATACATAGTGTATAGTACATTACATAAAAATAAAAATAAAATAACAAATTGTATTGAATTTTCATTAATAATTAATACGTAGCTTTGTTGATATGGAAAAGAGTATAGTTAATACGTATTTGTATATAGTACACGAGAATAAATTAATTCGATTTTTAATTATAAGTATAAATATAAATTAATTATATATTTAATTATAATACTCAAACCCTTCATATATATGTTGACTACTTGTACGCTTACAAATGCAGAATTCTTAGAATTTTTGTCTTTTAGTCAACTGTTAAATTCATTCGATTATTCTAATTTTCTTTATTATATTATGTATATAATGGAAAATTATTATATAAATTGAAATAGTTACATAATCATAGATATTAATATACCAATGTATTAAAAAGAAATTTTTATATTATTATGATTAAAAAATATTTAAAAATATTAAAATATTAAAAATTAAATTTTTTTTACAAAATTATTGACCGTTGACCCTAAAATTCACTAATAATTGTTATGAATTAATGTGAATTTTTAACAAAATCCATTAAAATTTGTCAGTATTTCAATGCCATTTTGTTATTTCGTGGTAACGACACATATAATGAAAAATTATTAGTTTTTTTAAAAGGAGTGATTTATAGGGATGAAAGTTTATATTTAGATTTATGAATTTTATCAATTTACAATAGCTTCTTCTTATATATCCTAGGAACAATATTTAAATAAGAATATGTAAATATAAAATATTTACCCCCAAGCGTTAGTGTACTGTAAGAGCTTAATCATTTTTTTTTTTTATATTCAATATGTTTTTTATTCAATATGCGTTCATTAATGTGATCTCGAAATGTTCAGGATAGGAATAATCATAAAATATAATATTAATATATGTTATTCTAATTTTTTTTTCAACGATTTCCCATTGTTGCCAATGACATATCTATTGTTTGGTCTTAATGTACTTTCTAATCTAAATATTAACTATTTTAATCGATAATTAAAAATTCAAAAAGAAGTTTAAAAATTATGAATCAATCATGACGAAAGCCTCGGTATTACATAGTAGTCATTAGGGGCTTCAAATCGTCTCGTAGAATCGTATACATGGAATTCTAAGAAAAGCTATCGAATTCGCGCTCCCATCACTATCACATTGTCGGATGCGCGCGCAAAACCAATTGCGAAGACATTGGCGTGATTGGCTGTTGGTGACGCCACTTGGTCTGTTTGCGCAGAAGCGATCACGCCTTGACAATTCCATCCCTACCCTACATAAGTTTGTCTTTTTTGCAATACTTAACTTGCCCATCACTCCATCTGACTTAGAATCTGAAATCAGTCCCGGATCCAGTCATCGTTACATTATTCATGTCGGCATTGCCGCGCTTTTCTACTCAACGGTTTTTATTGGCACTTTCATATCCCGGTGGATGCTACCGATTTAACCCAACCCAACCCCTTAATATCACAGCGGCATTTTTTCTGAACTTTTAATCTACAAAGAGCGGAGCGCTTTTCGCTCTTTCTCTATCTCTATTTCTCTCTCTCTCTCTCTCTCTCTCTCTCTCTCTCTCTCTCTCTCTCTCTCTTCACCCTTCTGTTCCACCGTCTTACAAGCACTCTGTCTCGACAAGTGTTATATTTGATTTACAGTGTCGTGGTGAAGTTAAAGCAGAGATAAACCGATCGAATTTCAAAAAAGGTATCGTATAATGTATAAATACATGGTAAATAATATGCATTCGCAGCAAGGACCCTTATCAAATAATTGTTATGTACGTAACGCGGTTTAATTGGAAAAAAATAAATAAATAATAATAATAGAGACTTAGCGCGGGATGTTCGATGTAAGCGAGCGAAAGAGAAAGTAAGCTGAGTATGTATGTGAACGCGCGCGTTGATTAATTCAAGAAACACGAGACGAGTGCACAACGGTCGTGTGATAAACAGACGCTGGCAGCCCTTGGTTCAAGTGCGTAAGACTGTTATGCGTGGTGTCTCACACTCTTATTGGCCGTTGTGCGAGCTGGTTCTCAAGCCCAATATATTCTAACTTCCGAGTTCAACTTAACAGAAGAATACTTAATATCAGTGTATATATTCAAGTAAGTGCGATAAAACGGAACATTTTCATATATTATTAAATTAGAGCGGGGCTACTTTAGGGTAATGCGAAAAATTACCTACTTTAATGGGAATATCTCAATTATCGCAAGCTTACACGGGCAAATGTGTTTTTAGGGTCGTATTAAATTTTTCTGCTTTCTTGACTTGTCCTAACCTAATTTTGCGAGATTATTATTATTATTATTTATTTTTTTTTTTCACATTATCATGATGCGCATAAAATTGACATCTATGTCGTCATCAAACAACTTATAGTTAATAAGTTTTCGCGCGCACAACCAATCTCTTCAATTATTTGCACTCTCTGACTATTTCATTCAATCCTCTCGTTTTCTCTGTCATTAAAAGTAAATTCAGAATCGTGGAAACCAGACACGAGTGGGTATTGTTTTATTCAGCTTAATTAAGTCGAGTTTGATCGATCAGTTCTGTGAGCGAAGGACATCGCACGTACAGAAAAGAGCAAAGGAAGCTTAAGAGGGCGAATGTGAATTAAGGGGAAGTAGAAAATACGAAATGCAGAACGCACTGCTCTAAGAGGCTTCGTTGTGGTATGTTTTGTCTTATGTGCCAGCGCCCAGCAGTGCCAACGCTATTTCAGTATCTTTCTGCAGTTTGATATGCGTTATACCGTATATTCGACATTAGAAAAAAAAACTTAAATTGTAAAAAACGCTAACGTTAGTTATATTCCATGACAAATGTTTTATCTGCGTGCACACGCAATCTGTAAATGCTGGTAATCACCACATTATCTACTTAAATGGTAAAAAAAAGTTTTCTCAAATCGAAAATTAAAAATATGTATGTTAACTGTTCTATATAATGTAAAAGAAAACAAAAATCTACATTCTAAGTAAGATAGGGTGATTTATTATTATTTCGGCATATTTATATGCTAGGTACTTACTCTTCTTATGCTGCAATACATGTGTGGACAAAAATTATTTGATTAAGCATTAACGGCAAATATAAAGTTACTGTTTTAATGATATATATTAAGGGTATTATTATTATTATTATTATTATTATTATTATTATTCTTTTTTTTTCTTCCTTAAGTAATTATTTATAATATGTGATCATTGGGGCCATTTTGATGAATATTTACTTAAAATAAATAATGACAATTTATTGTCTATTCCATAGACTGTTATTCCAAGTACACAATTTCAATTACATGCCAATAGATAGCCAATGCTAATAATAGATTTATTTTATATTACAATTATTGAATACTCTCGTAATATAATTTAATATGTTTATAACGTAACATATTAAATTTTATTATTTATTTACTTTCATTAATTTTCTAATATTTTAGATTCTATAGTATGGTTAACTTGTAAAATGGGTAGGTGATATATTTCAATCAAACTTTAAAACTACGAAAATTATTTTACGATACATATTTTAAAACACTTTCAATTATGTGTAAGTAGTTGCAAATATTTTGTTTTATCAATTGAAAATAGCAGATAATTTGTATGTTAAATTGGCGTTGCACTTTAGAGAAGAATACAAAATTTTAAAGATTTTTTGGACCAACTTTGTTAGATTAATCTCTTTTCAACTTACGATAATATAATGTGATTATAAATACTGTACTTAAAAGTATTTATATAATTTTGTATAATATTGTTTAATCGTGTTTTAAATAATTAACCAAACTTATTTAATGTGTACGTTTACCCAAATTATAATACAAATCATAGATAATAGGTTAAATTAAAAACTAATGTTGAATAATAATAAAAACTAAATCCTTTAAAATGTTTTTATGAATTATAATTATATATCGATATACAATAGATAATAGTTAAAAATAATATTTTTTTTTTTTCTAGCTAGAATCATGTCAGTTGTACCTTCTTTGGTTCGATGGAAAATGCTAGTAAAATAATACAGAGACAAAAATAGTAATCCAATTCAGTAAATATTTTATTATAATAATGGGGGCATTTTTGGATACACCTAAGACAGATAAATACAATGAGCATGGTGAAGGTAATGGATTGCATTATGCAGTCGCCTGTATGCAAGGTTGGCGAATGGAAATGGAAGATGCTCATAGGGCGTTAACTGGTCTTGATGGAGGCCTTGCTGACTGGAGTTACTTTGCAGTGTTCGATGGTCATGCTGGTGCTTCAGTATCAGCCCATAGTGCAGAACATTTATTAGAGTGTATAATGCAAACAGAAGAATTCAAAGCTGAAGATGTGATAAAAGGAATACATTCAGGATTCTTGAGCTTGGATCATAAAATGCGAGATCTCCCACAAATGTGTAATGGTACTGATAAATCTGGTTCTACAGTGGTAAGTAAACTTTCTATTTATAAGATGTTTTTAAGGACAATTTATTATTTTATTTTATATCCTAATATTTAAATAGATTATATTTTAGCAAACGAACTAAACTAAACTAACTAGAAAAAATTTTATTTGAAAAAAAAAAACAATTACTGAAAATACTAATGGAGACTATATATTATAAATAATTTTTATTAATTTCACATAGTTTATTAAATTTGTAATTATAAGAATAAACTTTAAATTTCATATGATTAATTTATGAAAAAAAGAAATATTACTTTCTAAAATATGCTTGTAGAAACATTGAAAATTTTTGAGGGATTGTTACGTAACGCTTTAATTCATTTAAAATGACTAATATAATTATATAGTTTAACTTTTAGAAGGATTCTTTATAAAATTAAAACCAAGTTGATTATAATAAAAAAGTAACGAATAATAATTAATTTTTTGCATGGATTAATATGTTATTGGATTAGTAAGAGAAATCCTAAGTTATTTAAAAAAATAATACTTGATAATAGTAATAAAAATAGTAAAGATTAAATCCCTAATAAAAAGTACAGGTACATATTTTTGTAAGAATACTATTACAAAATAAAATTTATAAATTTTAATTACAATTAACATCTAATTCAATTAAAATTTTGTGAATTAAATATTTGCGAAATACAAAATTTTTTAAAAAAGTTTTCGCTTTTTTGTAAGGCATGTATGTAGGTTATAATTCACATTATGTTCAAATTATGACCCGTATCATAATTTTAACAGGTATGCGCATTTATATCACCAAAAAATATATATATTGCCAATTGTGGTGATTCACGAGCGGTTCTCTGTCGATCGGGTAATCCAGTTTTCTCAACGCGCGACCATAAGCCAGGTTTACCGGCTGAAAAAGAAAGAATTCAGAAAGCCGGTGGTTGCGTCGTCATTCAACGAGTAAATGGTTTACTTGCCGTTTCACGAGCACTAGGAGACTACGAATACAAGAAGGTCGAAGGCCGTGGACCTTGCGAGCAATTAGTATCTCCTGAACCGGAAATTTTCGTACGTGAAAGAGACAACGAGCAGGACGAGTTTTTGGTATTGGCATGCGATGGAATTTGGGACGTTATGACCAATGAAGCCTTGTGTAATTTTATTCACTCTAGGCTACTTATCACTGACGATTTGGAAGCAGTCAGTAATCAAGTTATAGATACTTGTTTATATAAGGTAAATAAACAACTTGCACACAATAATTCTAATTGATTAAATATTACATGTATAATAATTAAATAGCAAGAATATTTTTCTCTTCTCATTCAAATGTAAACATAGATTCGTCAATCAATAAATTTAGGAAAACTTTAAATTTTTAAATATAAAATTTTCAGAAAATATTACATGGCATATTATGAAATCCTTTTTTCTTAATACAGTAGTTGCATTAAAAGAATTTGCTCGATGATTTAAGTTTTATTAACGAAAACATTTATTTATAAATTTAAAAGTTAAAATTATTTACAGGGAAGTAGAGATAATATGAGTATAGTATTGATTACGTTTCCTGGCGCTCCAAAACCAAGTCCTGAGGCTAAAAAGAAGGAAGCAGAACTAGATTTGTTTATTGAGAGGACGATTAAAGGTTAGTTATTTTCATATGTAGTAATTGATAAATATATCAATGATTTTTCTTAAAAATTTCGTAAACAAACATTTATAATTAAACGTAAATATATGAAAGATGAAAAGCAAATGCATAGATCATTAATTTTAATAAATTATTTATTGTTATTTCTATTGTATATTAATATTTTTACGAATAATGGAAAGTTAAATAATAACAATTTATTTAGTAAGTACATAGCTGATTCATTCTATTTCATTGATGAGAGAAAAATTAATTTTTATTTAATAAATTATTAATGAAACCGATTGTATCGTAGTAATTCCATTTCACTATATTAATTACATAAGTGAGAATAAAATGAATTCTTTTAACAAAAAATACAGGCAACTACTAAAGTACTACCTTTTTATATTACATATCAAAATTGTAGTTAAAAACATTTATGGAAATTAAAGTAAAATTGTTACTATACAATTTTATGAATAGTATAAAATAATAATTTGAAATGAAAATTTTCCAGAGAATTTTAATAAAATAATTCTTATCAAAACATTTTAAGTATAAAAAATTCATTCTTGTATATCCATTAAATTTTAAATATTAATTTTAACATTAATTATTACAACAGTAATTTAGTCGAACATAATATCAATGTTATTAGTAACATATTAGAACTTTTATAATTATGTTATTATTATTCATAAAATATATAAGTCTTTAGTGTAAATTTGTTAGAAAATTTTCAAAGAACTTTATATTATAAATATATTCTATTTATTTTTATAAAACAACAAATTATAAAATATTAATGAATCCAATTAATATTAATTCTATAATATTTAATTTATTTCATACATTGATTTGTTTATATTTCTGTAAAATATTCTAAAAATAGATATAGTTTCACAAGAGGAAGATAAAAAGGACTTTGAGTTTATGTCACTTCTCCATATTTTGATGCAACATAGCATACCTAATTTGCCTCCTGGGGGTGGTCTTCCTGCAAAGTAAGTTTTTAATAATACAATAATAATAAAAAAACTAGTGTCGACATTTATTCTTCATTATTAGGTATAGAATATTAATGAAGTAATTTATGTTTATCTGGATTTTAAAATTTTTTACAATAAATATGGAGAATTAGCAGCTTTAGATTTTAATAAAAAGTAATGAATTAGTAAATATAAAAAAAAAAAATTATATCTTAGTAAAGTTTTTATGAAAATCTTTCGTTCCTACTCGAAAAAATTTTTCGTAGTATTAAAATTATTTATTATGTACAGGAACTAAAATCATTTGACTTTAGACAAGTATACTTAAAAATAATAATTTAATTTATACAATTGAGCTAATATAAGATTTATTCGAAAATGATATTTTTTTAGAATAATTATTATGTAGTAAAAATGACTTAATATCTAAAAACAGTAAATGATTAATTGATTATGATTAGCTTATCAAAATTGTTATATAAATTCAAATTCCTATTTAATTCATTTTAAGGAGCAGTTTATTATATATTCTATATTTTGAAAAGATTTATACACTTTAAAAAGTACTTTGCGATATTTTCATCATCACATAAAATATCGTTTTTCTTCTTACAGGCAAAAGTTTATCGAAAATGTTTTTCGACAAGAATGTCCTAACAGAGCGGATAGTATAGGTATCATGTATGATTTTCTTCAATTCAATTAGTGGCTGATTTTATTTTAAATCTCATCAAATGTACAAATACAAAAGTAATATAGATTTTACTAAATACGTATAATGTATCCTTCATCATGGAATTTGCAATTTATATAAATTGATTGTTGACTAAAAAGCGATAAATGTAATGACCACACTTTAATAACTAAATCTTTTATTGCGACAGTCTTAATAAATTTATCATTATTGCGATATCAGTCAGTATATGCGTTTCGTAAGCATATTTACTGAAAGGCAAAATTTTACTTTTGTTTTTTGTATTATATTTTTTTTTCAAATCAAATTAATCGATGTATGATTGTGTATATTTAGATTTAATTTCACAGATAAGGAACGAGATAATTTTTAGCTGTGAACATTCAATGTTTCATGAATGATTAATAATGACGAAAGAAATTCAAAGATATTGCTATCAATTGCAACTATGATAGACATTTTATTATTTTATTATTATTTAAAAAAAAAAAAAACGAAAATTTTTTATTTGAAGAAATAAAAAGAATTTGAATTTGGTAGTTGGTAAAGCTAAAAGAATTTGTAAGGAAAATTAAGACCGAACTATTATTCAATATTTTTCCATACTGAATTAATAATTTTAATCATGACAAACAATTAAAAATACCTTGCAAAAATCATACATATATCTATAGAATTTATTTAAATGATTATTACTACATTGATATTGTTGGACTTTATAAATTTTCTGTGCATTAAGCAAGTGACGAAAATTTTATTATAGTTATTACAAATGAGGGATAAGAAATGTTCAATTAAGAATCATGTAGTCATGTACCAGATAAGAATCAAGATTACATCTGAACATGTTTTACAATAAAAAGCAAGTAAAATACTTTGTAAGCTTTTTATAAGATAACTATTAAAAATACTTTAATTAAAAAAAGTCTTTGAGTAACTTATTAAAACAATATTGTTTGTTTTTATTTTGCTCATTAGATTTTTTTTAACGATTAGTATGTAGAATAGTGACGATAAAAGTAATTTATTAAAAGAAAGGAAATTCTTCAGCAAAAATTAAAAAATATAAAAAGAACTGTATTTACTATTGAAACGAAATATTTATATATATATATATCGCGTTATTATTTCGTTATCTTTTTTATCTGAAATGTTGCTATTAATATTATTAAATTATTGAAATGTTAACATTCCTATAAGTGTATTTATGCTGATAATTTTATTTCTTTTAATAAATGAATATATCTGAATCATCTTATGTGTGCTGAATGGTTGAATAAAACTATGTTGTTTTCAAAGGATGAATGAAGGATCAATGTAATCTGGATTTCTATCAAAGTGAATTCATGTTTCTACAATTTCCCTTATATGTTGACAAGGAAACAAATATGTGTAATGTATAACATGCTATAACTACATATATATATATATATATATATATATATGTAGTTATATATTTATATATATTTTTTTGTAGTTCTAGAAACTTGCGTTAAAAATACTTTTCAAAACAGGTTCCAAGATTTTACTCTTTGGCACCTGTAACGTTATAGCATTCAACAAAAATAAAACAGAATCGTCATAACATAATTCATAAAAATGAAATAGGTATTCATCAGAGTAATGACATTGACATTTGTATATATGGGACTGGAAAAAGCAAACTGACCACATACTTAGTTGTAGTCATTAGCAGTCCTATATGTACATAAGAACAGAAGTAAAAAAATCATTCAAAATTTCCATTAATAGAAACTATACAATAAATTATTTGATGATAGTTATGACGAATATATTGAATTTTTTTTAATTTTTTACTTGATAAGGTTCTTTATAAGTATGTAAACCTATTTATTTATTTTTTTATGAAATGATTGTTTTGCTTGAATTAAATTGACTAGTTTTATTTTTAAAAGTGATTTTTTTTTTAAAGTAAACAATGAGTTTTATTTACAAACAAATAATTGTAATTTATCTATATAAATATGCATACAATTTTATTTTTATTTTTTAATAAAAATCTAATTAAATTTATTTAAAATCTATTTATTTAATTTAAAATATTGTAATTTTAAATAATAGTTGCCATTTATTTGGATTTTTTTCTTTTAAAATTATGTAAAATTGTGAACAATTTTCATTATATTGTTTTACAGATTGATTATTTGTAGAATATCAAGAATCATCATATCAACAATCACTTGACATATTTAACTTTAATTTGGCACAGGATAGCCTTACTAATTTTTAAATAAGATTTTTAAATAGTATTCAGGTCTTTTGAAGAAGGTGTTTTCAGTAATTAGTAATCAAACATTTAATAAGTATTGAATGTGAGAAAAGTATAAAAGGGTCAGAAAGATAAATTGTGCTTCTTTTTGGTATTTGTGATTAGAATGCTAGACTATGATCGACACTATACAATAAAGTTAGATCTTACAAAAGAAGTGGAAAGAATCGTCAATGGAGCAAAATGCCGGAGCAGTTGTGCAAGTGACTCGATTTTCTCTTTCGCTCCTCCCATTCTATTGTCTACCCATTACATTCGCTCGTTCTAATAATAAAATATACATACTCGCGTGCACAATGTCATGTTAAGTAGAGGTGAGTTTGAAATTGTGGTTTGCAAGTAATTTATTAAAACATTGATGAAATTGAGAGCAACATCGCTAAACATTTAATTAACGTCGCTTAAAAAATAATTCATAGCTAGCTATCCTTCGCTTTTTAATATTTTTAATTTACAAAATTTATTAAACCACACACAAGAACTCTCATTTACAGTTTGCCAAATGAAATCTTATGTGCATTTTTGAATTCATAGGAATCGATAATATAATTGTTCCATATGTTCTATAATATTATAAAACATATTTAATTTTTCCTAAATCTGCAAAATTCTTTCTATGGAAAAATAATTAAAAAAATAATTACGTATTACACATACACAAATGATAGAAATATTTTTTTATTATAAGTTTGTAAGAACGAATTTTAATATTTAACTTATCCAAATGTATTATATCGGTGAGAAATGGCTAAAAAAATTAATATTTCATAAAATGAGATTTTTCTAGTGTTTAAAGTTATAAAAACTAAATACTTAAATGAAAATAGTGTAGCATAATACAGAAAAATTATCTACTAAAAAAATTTTGTATGTTTTTACAATAATTTTTGTTGAATGATCTCAAAAAAAAAAAAATATATATACATATATGTACTAAAAATATATACTTTACTTAAGAAAATATTAATATACTTCAATAATACATACAATGCTTTCACTATTTAATTGGTTGAAATAGTTTGTTAATAATACTTAGTCCTGATTATAATAGTTGTGTAGTATCAAAAATTAGTCAAACTAACCTATATATATTTACCCTTCATATATACAAATATAATGTGAAAGAGAAATTATTTAAATTATATCATTAAATAGTTTAGCCATTTTGTGATATGAGAAAAATGTAAATAAAATTATAATTAAATGAATTTAAATGCATACACAATAATTCGTTTTTACAAATAATATATTTTTATTATCAGAAATGCAATAGTTGCATTATTAACATTTAAAATTAAAATAGTGAAATAGTAAATAAAAAATTTGGTTATAAGACAATATTAATTATATTATTTTGATTCATGCAATATTTATCCAGTCTAAATCATAAATATTGAAGAAGGATATATGATTTTAAGTCTATTTTAAATATCACAAAATATATACAATTGTATATGTTCATATAAATGAAATATTTTATTTTTAAATAAAAAACATTGCCATTTTTTGTTTTATATTATAAAATAATGTTATAGCGCTATAATATACTATTAGAGATTTTTTATTTAATAATGTTGCCGAATAAATTTATAATAATAAGCATATTTATTCCAGTAATGGAAATGTTGAGAAATGCACACTATAATGGGCATATCACTTATTGTTTATATATTAATTTCTAATCCACGAATAAACCTTTTATCGGCTATTATCTCAATTACTGGAGCATTTTATTCAAACATAATTTTCTTCTATTTTCAATAAAAAATATTTCAATCTCAAAAAGAAATCGTGTTATTCAATTGTTAAAATAAAAAGAAAGTACCATTTCAAAATTTCACAATAAGAGTTATTTAATTCAAAAGTGAATCGATTGAATAAATATAATTGTATGTTCCTTTGTTTATTATTTTATTAAATATATGATGGAATAGACATTAACGCACTATTCCTATGTTTAATATTTATAAATATAACTTAATATTTTAGATAATTATTTTTCAGAATTTTCATACAATGAGAAAAATGGTACAATTACATAAAAGTAAGTGATAATGCATATTGATATCGAGTATTGGGTGTATAGAAAATTTCTGCTTTGATTTATTATTTGTGAGGACATCCATTATTATGTTTTTATAGATAGGCAAAATTATACGTTTGGTAATCCTTAGATTTATAAATATAATTTATATAATTCTTCATATATATTAATAGAAATATTCTCATCTATACAACTTCATTTAAAATGTTTTAACCCATATATATTCAAACAAAAATAAAAATATGTAAAAATTTTTAATGATTTTAATTGAGAATATATACTGTGAAAATAGTATTATTTACTTATTTAATTTAATAGTTATTTAATACGCTAATACCGATTTATACTAAGTTTACTATATATTGTTTATAATATGGTTAATAATCTTAATTATTATGTGAATTTTCAAGATAAAATTTTATAAATTTTAAATAATAAATAAAAAATAGAATAAATATTTTAATAAAATAATAAGTGTTATACTGTTATTATTCGTTAATTATATTATGTATTTTTTGTTCTTTTATTTATATTCTTTAGTAAAAAGTAATTGTAATTATATTTATCACAATGTCATAAAAAATGTATTAATTATTAATATAAATTATACAAATTTCAGTTTTATTAGAATATAAAAGTAAATATGATTGATTACAGGGATGTATTATATTTGCCTCTATAAATTTGTTTAAAACGTTATTAATTCAAGTAAAATGAAATAGAATTTTCACAATTAAAAATATATAAAGAATGTTATAGATTTTCGAAATTGTTAAAAAAAAAAATAATAATAATAATAATAATAAAAATCAATTATATTAATATTTTTGTATTTATTTTTTGGATAGATTTATAGAAAAAATTGGAAATTTGGTAATATAGTTCAAAATTAAGTTATTTCGATTAGTTCATTTACAGAGTTAGATTCAAATCTTAATTGGAAATTATTTATTTTTAAAATCCAATTTTGTATGGTGTAATTTATTGATTTTTTATATAATTAAAATATCTTTTTCTTTTATTAGGCATACAATTAAAAAAGTAGTTTATAATATATAATTATAATTTTGCAGAATTAAATAACGTCTAAGTTAGGCACTACCCTGTTTAGAACATGTATACAATTTTGAAATTGAACTGTAATATTAGAATATATTGAAGGAAATATGTAAGCATTGATATCTTAGATAAAAAGAATATTTGTCACATAACAAAATTTCCAAGTTCTTTATCTAGTAAAATCGTGTCAATTATTTCTAATAATAAACTACAGGTATATATGGCTATAATAATTTGAATAAAATAAACAATATTACAATTTCGTAATGAAAATAGATTGTATTTAGATTTAATTTAAAACAGAGTTAAGTGATAAATGTAAATAAAATTATCAACGCTTGTTTGTATATTATGTTTTATTACAACACGTTATAACTTAGTTCTTAAAAAACATTTCAATTTATCAGCGATATCACATTAAAAATTTGTTCAAATAAAACGTAGACACCTATACATAATGTACAAATTGTACATTTCATTTGTCTTCCTCCCTTATATTAGTCTAAGTAACAATATCTCATTAAAGTTCAGTTATCTAATATGCTCATTTAAAAATTGAAGTATGTACAAAGTTGTAATATTTTAATTATCAAACCGTTGATATGAATTAATGTCATATCAACAATTGCTTCAATATTTGTCTTAGAAATTGTGCCTATCTTGTAAATAATTGGGATAGTCAGTCCTAATATTTTGCAATATTCTTTTATATTTATATTATAATAACGATTAGCCATTTTCACAAACATTTTCAAATACATAAAAGATAACAAAACTTATATAAAAACAAATTTTATTAATATATAAATATATGTAATATATTTTTTCATACTTTTTCTTAAATTTATTATAAATATTTGTACTTTGAATTTCCCAACACTGAATTCGTTATAATGAATAATTATTTATAAATATTTTAAATAATTCTCGAATATAAGCCGCTATCTTTTATGTATTTTCCCTA